GGATGGAGAGTCCACCACCTCTCTGGGTAACCCGTTCCAAGGTTTCACCTTCGGAGTGAGAGAGCTCTTCCTGATCTCCAACCTAAATTCCCCTTGCTGCAATTTAAGACCATTGCTCCTTGTCCTGTCCCTTAGAATGAGCCTTTTGCACTGCTACATCGACATACTTGCATCTCGACTGAAGAAACACTGGCAAGAAGGCTACGTGGGGTTTGCAGTGAAGTGATTTACCTTTGCACTAATCAAATTTAGTAGAAGTTTGGGGTTTTCAAATCAAAGTTTCCCTTTTATTTTTTAAAAATGAAATGTGGCTAACAGAATGGCATTTGTTTTTAAAGAAACCACTAGCTTTTGTTGGTGGGGGGAAGAACAGATGGGGCAAGAGAGATCGTTTCGGGGCAGATGGGGAGAGGCACATACCAAAACTGAAATAATTTTGCGACTAGCTCTCCTTACCAATGCAAGCCATCTCATTTTGGTGCAGTATGTCCATACCAAAATACTACCTGTGATTATTGCCCTAGGGCAAACTTCCCTGATCTATGGGGGGGGGGGGGGGTTTCATTTTATAAAAAGTACCAAATATGACCCCAGCTGAAAAGCATGCTTAAAGTGTTGTGTTTCTTCCTGTCTACTTTCCTGCATTTCTTCTCCTGTATCGCCACTCTTAAATTCCATTGTTGTTCTTACTAATTAATACGTACCGAGCTTTCTCCAAATGTCTTCCTCTCCTTTGAAGACTCGAAAAGGGTAAAAAGGAAGGACCTTTGCCTTCCTGCTCCTGCAACAGCTGTGAGATCACCTGAAAAGTGGCCTTTAAAGCACGGTCAGACAGATGCACATGACTTGGGAGCCTCTCTTTAGAGTAAACAAATCGTTCTCCCATTCCTCTTCCTCGCACATTTGAAGACTGATCATATTACTGGTCTATCTGTAGTTAGCTGGGTGCGTCGGGGTCGAACTGAGCCCCTCAGAGGTAAATATTTGCAAGCAGACTTGCAGAAAAGGAAACATGAACAAAGGAGCTTATGCTTTTAAACTGTTCTTTAGTTTTGTGCAATGCTTGTGCTCCGTTTTGATCAGCAGTGCCTGGTAAGCAGTTTGTGTCTTCATGATACCTTATTTCACAGCAGCATAAGTTTTTAACAGACATTCTCAGATGTTTCCCCTGTACATTCAATACTGGCTCCCTTATGTCTTTGGCTTGGCTACCTTACAAATCTGGGCAGTATTAAAGAGCCATAGTTGCCCCTTTATTTTTGCCTACCTCTATTCATTTGAGTTGGGCTGCCACGTGCCGAAGTAGGCAAACAAGATTCTTTGGGTAGATGTGATATCTTTTATTAGACCAACTAAATGGTTGGAAAAATTGTTCTTTGCAAGCTTTCACATATAAACACCCCTCTTCAGGCCCAGGGAGAGTGTGTACCCAGGAAAGCGTACACAGCAACAACAAACTCTCCCTGGGCCTAAAGAAGGGTGTTTGTGCCCAAAAGCTGGCAAAGAACAATTGTCCCAGCTATCTAGTTGGTCTAATAAGATGTATCACATTTACACAAAAAACCTGCCTATGTCCTCAGACCAACATGGCTACAACCAACAATCCTAAAACATGCGGAAGAAGGCTTTTAGTGTAGCAACACAGCTAATTAATCGCTCTGTGGCTGGACGGTGTAGGGTTTATGGCTGTAATGAAATGTAGCTGGGGTAACTTCACATGTTGGGGCATTTGCCTGTCCATTCAGAACTGTGAAATCATTTAATAAATGTGTGATACATTTGAGTGCATCGTATTTCATACTCCAGCAGAGAACAGTGGAAATGATACCCGACTAATTAGAATGAAATAGTGTTCTGGTGCACTGCCATCTCCGTCTCCCCTGTCACTAGTCTGACAGCACATGTTTTTACAAGCCATCCTGAAGCCGCCAATACTTGCATTGTTTGCATGGGAGAAAATGAGCTCATGTCTTATTCGGACTTTTCTCATACTGCGTGAAAATGTTATTTGCTTCGGTAAAAACATGTAATGCAATGCTATGTATGCTTAATTAATTAAGCACCTTTTAAGACTGCCAGTGAAACCCAGGAGATTTCTACCCCTAGGAAACTGGCTGGAGATCACAATCAGCAGGATATTCTAAAAGAATTTCTGTTTTTATAGATAGATAGATAGATATAGCTATATATAGATAGATATAAATAAACAAAATCACAGGAATGACTTTCCATGGAAAGATGTGCACATAATTGATTGTATGGGCCATTATGACAATAAATCAGTCTTATTTTGAAGAATGCATTAATAGATAAGCCCAGAGACCAGGGCTTTTGATGCAGGTGCAGTACTCTCCCAGCATCATCTCTGAGTTGGGATTTGATTTTAATTTATACTTAAAATGAAGTCATGGTTCTACAGCTCGCTTTAAAATTGAAAGTTTTACTTGTATCCTGCAAGCCTTTTTTTCTTTTCTTTTTCCGCCTGATTGAAAAACTTCAGGAGATATTTACTTCATCTCTTCTATTCTTGCCAAACCACTAATGGCAAAGAATTTTGAGCATTAAAACATGGCTGTCTAATTTCTGAAATCAGGGAGCTGTGCATTGTGAGATTTAGTGATCACTGCATGAATAATGTAGAGTTACGGTGCTTTTAAAAGCAATCTTTATCCAAGGTCAGACTTTTTTTTGTTGTAAAATGTATTTCCTAATTCTTGTACCTCAGTCTCACTCAGGTTGTTTGTGGAAGAACCACAGGTTTGTTCAAAAAAACAAATAGACCATAAAAAATAATATTTTCTTAACTCATTTCACTACGTGTTCTGTTTCAGAATGATTTGTGCAAAACTTGCCTATTTAATAAAAATAAACCTGTTGCATTTTCACAGTTAATTTCCTAAGTGCACAAGTGTTCCTAAAGTTACTAAAACCGTTAAGACAGTGTGTGTCTATGCCTGCCTTTATGGATCAGGTAGTAGTGCATTTAAAATAGCCTTCTGTCTACCTGTTCCTGCATAAATCACATCTGCGCGGGATCCAGTGCATCCTAGCTCCCCTCAATCTCTGATAGATAAAGATGGTGTTTGGTGTGCTCCTGTTAACTCTTCCTCAAGGATCTGTTTATTTTGAATATAACAGAGAGGAGCAAAATACATTTTACTCCTTGAATGATGCTCAGTGAAACATTTAGTTGCTTATATAAGTTCACACAGGAAGAACTGTTGCCAAATTCCTGCAAGGTAATGGTTTGATACACAGGAAAGCCACCTTATGCAGAGATCAGCCAAGGAGAGAACAAGTCCTCTGCTTTCCAGCAACACAGAGCTCAGGTGTGTGGCTAAACAGCATGCAGCTTTTATATGCTTTATACCTTACACCTTTATACCTCCTTGGTTCCAGTATGCTGGGCAGTAAGGTTGGCCCCAAGCAGTTGAGACAGAGATTGCGTAAGTCCTCTGAATTACCATGAACACGTGACAGATTAAAGGCTGCACCACTCCAAGTTGCATCATTGCAAACTAAACTGCATTGGGATGGGGATTTGTTTATGACAACGCAAACTCATTTAAATCACCACAAACTCATACATTTACAGTGTGACACCATGAAGCCACATACAAGGGCAATTTTCGTCATGTGTACAAGTGCCCTGTGTGGTGTTCCCCCGTCTGCAAGGAAGCTATAGGCTGCAGTGCATTGTAGGGGTCAGGTGAGAGGGTAACCTGACTGTCGGTTTCTAACGAAGGGGTTGGGAAGCTAATTTGTTATAGGACATAGACTGAAAGCTTGGGGCTGGAACCAGGCCTTTTAGTTGGCAAAGCATCACACCTATGTGCCAAGCATCAGCCCAAGGCAAGTGGAAAAGCCCAAGATGCAGTCCTGAAAGTCAGGCCTTTATCATTTGGAATAGTCTCACAGTTGTGTGACTGGTGTAATTGCAATCCCTGTATGAATAAGATCATGCTCGCATGTGCAGCAAGCTGGCCTGTGTTTAATTAAGCTCATTTTCTCCAAGCCAAGAGCATGCAATCAGGGCCCCCCCACCTTGGAGCAAAGCACGGAGCATTTTGTCTTCACCGCAGCAGCTGCTCGTACGTGTTTTTTGTTACTGACTGGGCCCTGTCCATGCTTGGCATTTCTCTTGCCTCCACTCTAGCATAGCTCCTTGCACGTTAGTGGTTTACACAGCAGCCATGAGACGCCAGGCAGCTCCCTGCACCTGGTTTAAATTTAAAGGTCGTTTGCACATGATGTCACACTTTTATTGTCAGCACAGCAAAGGTCAAGATGGTTCATTTGGGGAAGGTTTGCATTGTTGAGTCTTTACAGTGCTGCCATTAATGCCTTAACCATCTGACTTGCATTTCAGTTTTCTGGCATGATGTAATCCAAGGCACTAGATTTATAAGATGAACGGGAAGCGAGTGTGGTAGCTAATCAGGTTGGTTTGTAGAACTACTTTTCTGGAGACCAGGGTAGGAATTATAGCACCACATGTCATGTAGCAAATCATGGGCCTAGCCAGAAGAGTTAACAAGTCATGGAAATTTGGGTGGCTGCTACAGACTGCCGGCTTTGCAGGAGCGCAGCCAGAGGAAGTGCGGGATTACAGCCCCACCAGCTAGAGCGGAGCGCGAGGTTCTCGGAGGCTTGCTCTCTGCACTCGCACATAGCTCCTATTGATGATGGGATTTGCACGCAGGTATGGAGAAAAGCTTTGGGACACCACTTCAGAATAAAACAATAGGGCTGAAATAAAGAAGCATGAAAAACATGGACCTCATTCTCACCTCCTCAAGTTGTGCTCTAGTGTTTCATTCTGCATGTGGGTTTTGGATGCGTGTTTAACAGCATGTTCCCAGCTGAGCTTCGGGAACGTGTGTCTGTAGATCCCGGGCTTGGAGAGCAGCTTAGGTAGCCTCCTCTGTACTTTATGATTTCTTGCAATTATGGCTCTGGGGAAAGCTTAGAGCTAAGTATTTAGTTTGGTGTCTGGGGATTGAGATGAACAACTTGTATCCCTTTAAAGGGAGAAGTGGCTGAATTCAGGCCCGTTATCCTCTGAAATCTCCTTTTGGTTGTTACAGGGAGAGGGGAGGGGTCATGAACATAAAAATATACCTAATCCTACAGAAGACTTTAAAAGCCTGACCTCCTTTTTGCTATCGTGCAGTGTGACTACAGTTGTCACCATGAAGTTTGCACCTGCCTTCTATCTCTGTAGCTGTCATAAATTATAGGTTTCACTATTAATGCTTGGTGGGGTCAAAAGAAGCCATTCAAATATTAATATTTATACAAGTATATAGAAAAGGCAGACCAGTCTGGAGTACATCCAGCACAATAATTCTCACCCAGGGTGCTACAAGATCCTTTAAAACAGGGGTGGGCAAAATGTGGCCTGCGGGCCAGATCTGGCTGTGGGCCCCCCCCCCCAAAAAAAGTAGAAAATGAATATTCATCTGCCCCGGCTGCCTGTCATGCAGCCTTCAATGGTTTGCCAAAACTCAGTAAGCGGCCCTCTGCCAGAAATACTTGCCGGCCCCTGCTTTAAAGGGTGCCATGCAATATGAACACTGTTAGGCATGCAAACACCTACATGTGATTCGTAAGACAAGCCCGAAGATTTCAAATAAGAGTCTATGGTGTCAAAACCATTTTTGCCCTGTTGTGGGCTTTCTGAGGTTTCTGCAACAGATTAATAACTTTTTTTTTTATAGTCAAAAAATGAACGAAAGCCAAGAGCTGGCATTTTCTGAGGGGTGTGTTGAGTCTAACAAGGCTGTCTTGGGCCTACGAAGGTTTAGAGCCCCCCGTCTAGTATGTGCCCGTTCTAAGGTCTGAAAATGTCTCCTAAATGCTTATTTGCCCATTTTTACAAGTTCTAATCTGGGTCGTAACCTGTCATCCATGAGGTGTGAGCCATAGCGCTGTTTGCTGCTCAGGTGTGAGTTTGGGGATGTGGCTTGATAGAGGTGTACACAGAGCCCTTGTCAGTGCTAGCAGAAGGGACGTACACCCGTGCCCACCCCCTTAGGATCCCACTTGTTCCCTGCAGCTGTGGGAGTTTTGCCAAGGATTGGAATGGACACAGCATCATATCCGGTCTGAATTGGCTAGAAACTGTCCTTCCAGAGCTGATTGATTAGACACACACCATAGGAGCTAACCAACTAATTTATGCCTCCATAACCACACAAGACAGGTGGACATTGTCTTTATTTACAGACAGGGAAACGAGTCAAAATTTCTACACGTGGGATGACTGAGTTTCTGAGAGTCCAGCCTAAGTTAGTTGGGCCCTGGGTTCGGCTGAACTTTGAAAATCAAATCCAAAGCCATAGACTTGCAAGTAGCTTGCCGTGGTGACATGGAATATGTGTCTACACAAGGCTTTAAAATCCGTGTGCTCTGACTCAAGGCCAAACATTTGCATTGCTGCAGAAACATTAAGCTCTGTTAACCATGTCCCAACTTCTTAATATCATTTAATGGTCTATTGGTTAGTTGAAATCACTATATAAGTCTTATTATCTCATAGGGAAACACATGGAACCTATTTATAAAGAACTACATTCAACTTCCATCATGCTTTTCCTGACTTGTAGTCTATACTGTAAACCCTTTTGGAGATATGCCACCATATAGGTAGATGGGGTGCTTAGCATGGAGGGGCACTGCCTGAACACAAATAGTAAGGGAGGGAAGAGAGTGCAGCTAAGGGCTGCTGCTTTGAGATAAAAATGGTGCGTCAATAAATTGCGTGGCATGCAAGTGGTTAACCTGAGACTGGCAATTGCTGAAAGAGATGCAAGTGTAAATCGAGTAATTACTCTGGAATTTAGTGCTGCGCACCAGCCGGGCAAATCACTTAGCAAGTGTCAGCAAGGGTTAGAAGTTGCTGTGAATAAGAATAGCGCTGCCTGTTATGTTAGCAGTGATGAAGTTGCAAGGGCAGTCAGTCCTCTTGCACAATCCGATCGCCCCCTGGGATTTGGAGAACGCGTCCCGTATGCTATGGGACAACCTCACGCAATTAGACGCATTCTGCAAGCTTTAAGCGTTGCTTTAATGCATTCGAAGCTGACCATTGTCAGCGCCAAGACAGGTGACTGATCTGTTTCCATACAGCAATTCTCACGCTCTTAGCAGTAATGCTGTGCTGCTTACCGCTGAGGTGGTGATTAAACTGGCACTCTTTTCTCATGGCATTTCCTGACGTATTTTCCACTTGCTGTTTACAAGTCCTATCTTCTGAAACCATCTGAGCAACAGCAACATTCATCTGGTCCCTTTCCAGAGAAAGATCAGTAGAGCTGGTGAAGAGAGTGCCCAGCTTGGGTGCCAAAGGCTTAATAGAAGACACTTGTCATTTCGACCCCTGATCTGGCTGGTGGGCACGTAGCCATCCGAAGAGACGAAATGCCACAAAAGAGCTCATATCCAGCCACTAGATTTTTTTACAGCTTAAAATGTTCCAGAATGCCAATTTTAATTTTCGACCACCTAAGTCATTTAATTAAAGGCATGGACCTGTTGTTTGCCTACCCTTGTCTAAACCAGCCTTTCTCTTTTGAGTGTAGGTGTTGGCAAACATTTCCCAGCCTGGCGTTAATGGGGAAACATTTGGTTTTGGTATTTTTTTCCCGTTAGGGGAAAAAAATACAAATGTGACCTATTTTATAGGTGTCGGGAAATAGAAAGCAATTCTCTGTTTTCAGAAGTGCCCCAGCGTTGAGAAAAAAAAGTTTGCAATGTTCAGCCAAACAGATTTCATACTGGCTCCAAAGCAGGATGGCGTAAATTGGTATTCTGGGGGCTCAGCACTTCCTTTAGCTTAAGCATATACCTACAGAGAGAAATGTTTAGATTTGTACTTAAGAGGGTTTTTTCTTTCCTCTTTAAAAGGCTGATCTATACCACGTTGGGAGCAGGACTCGTGGAGGACAGACCCAAGCACGTGTCAGAGGCAGATCTAGGGCTCTGAAAAGCGGGGGGTGCCGTGCCGCAACATCTTCCTGATGGGGCAAGACGTCCTACCAGAATCATCCCCCCATGCCTTGGCCTAGGTCTGGGCAAAGCCTGAAGCTTAGATGGCCCAGGGCACTTCACAGAAGCGGGGCCAAGGGGTGAGGGTGGTGGAAGGGGGCATGCCCCTTCCCTGCCCCGCGGAGGAAGCTGGGAGGGCTTCAGCCCCGTGTTGCCCCTTCTGCCCCCTTCTCCCACACCCAAAAGTTGTGGCCTATCTTGGTGCTGATCTCCATGGTCATGGGGACTCCCTGCTGCTGCCACAACAGGCCTGGAGAGGGCCTGGGGGAGGCACACCAGTCCCAACGAGGAGCCAGGTCCCTCCTCCATATCACTGCAGCGGGAATCCAAGCAGGCCCATGCAACAGCACCACGGCTTCCCCCGAATCTGCCCCTGCACACGTTCAGGCCATCAGAGTCTGCTGCCACGCAACAGACCTGGGAGATAATGACGGCGCGTGCTCCAGACTCCTGCCCGGCGCCTGCTCTCCACCCCAGGGACGCCAAGGGTGAGCCCTGAACAACCTCACTGGCAAAATCCCAGCCTGTTGTGGATGCAGGTATGTGGGGTATACTTTGGGCACAGCCAGCCCCGTGCCCCCAGGGACAAGTTATAGAGGTGGTATCAACTCCGGCTATCACTGGATGCAATCATTCAGGTGAACTGGTTTATCCCGTGCTGAAAAGTGTCTTTAGAGTCTTTTGGAGCTTCTGGGTCTCTCTCCATTGGCACGGGCGGATCTAGCACTTGGAAAAGTGGGGTGCAGGTGCTGTGGTGCACCGTCCCATGTAACACAATGCATATTTTTCTGCAGTTAAAGAGAAGCTAGACGCATTCCCAATAAGCCAGGGGCCCAGTGCTGTATGATACCATTTAAGGTGAAAGCACGAACAAATTGGTTAGGTTATCTATTTGCTAATTTGCTAGATTGTTGTGTTTTTTAAACTTAATATATTAAACTAGGCAAACAGTGATCAAAACAGCTTGTTCCATTCATCCTGTAGTCATTACAGTTAAATTTACACGTCCTATTCAGATTTGTGAAACCATCTAGCCTCCTTGAGCATTTTGATGGTGCTTCCAGTGTGCCATGCCATCATTCCTACAGCTAACTTGATATTACCATACCTGCGTTAAGGCTTGGAGCTTGAACTAGAAACACTCTGCAAGGCTGGGAAATAGGAGAGAGACATCACTAGGAGTGGCTAACAGGCAGCAACATTGCAGAAAGAAAGGAAAGTTTGACTAGTGAAGTATCATTAACAAGGAGAGAGGGTTGTTAACACCCACGGGATGAAGAGAGATTATCACGAATCAGGTGGGTTTATAATGAGCCATGACCCGATGATCTTCCGAGGTCCCTTCCAGCCTTACAGTCGATTAATGCTACCGACTCCCTCAGTGCTGCCTGCCTAGAAATGCCGCTGAGCCTCAGAGACAGGTGGTCTGACAGTCTGAGCAGAGCAGGAATCAAAGGGGGGTGCAGCTACAACCCCCCTAGATCCACCCCTGCCCATTGGCTTTGTAGTGGGTTGGATCAGTCCTCTAAAGATGTTTTGCTTTCAGGATCTCTCACCCAGGGAGGTGCATGAGAGCTGCCTCAGCCATATAAATCAATTCTGAAGTGGGTTATAAAGTGCCTGTTTTGCCTTCCATTAACATTCCTTGCCCCCTTTGCAATCTCCGTAGCCAGCTGTTGAAAGAGCTCTTGGGAATTTGAAAATTTAAGCCATTTTCTGTTTTGTAGGGGCAACACGCCAGCCTTGCGCGCTTGGGAAGGTTTAAACGTCCCTTATGTTGAACAAGAGGTGAGTCTGCGTTGTTAATTCAGCGCATTAAAGGTTAAGCGGAGCCGTGCTCCATACCAGCCAGCTAGAGTGGTGTGTGCTCGGTTTGGGCTCCGGACAACCCGAGTGCCTGGGGGAACTGGTAGCCACTCCTATAAGGAGGATGAGCATGTGGGACCATGGGAAGTCTGGGACACTGTGTCCTCTCCCCACAACGCCCACCAAGTGAGCGGCTCTGCTGCAGGCACGGGGCCATCCGGCACCTCCCTGGCTCCTGGCTGCAGCACCTGGAAGGAGCCCCCCATCCTGCGCAGGCGGTGCATGCAAACTCCTGTTGTGTCAGCGGCTGCAGCTGGGCAGCCTCTTGCTGCTGCAGCCACCAGTTGTCCAGCCCAGCCCAGCCGTGGCCACATCCCAGGGCAGAGGCCGTAGCATGGTGTGGCCCACCGTGCACAGGTCCCCACTAGTAGCTGGGAGGCATCCCACCCCTCTGGGACACGCACGTGCACCCCCCCACCCACCTACACACCTGCAGCCCATGTGGCAGTGCTCTCTGCCTACCCTGCCCTGTCCTGAGCTGATCCCTACCAATCCAGGGCTTTTGCTCCAACCAGCCGGGGTGCCAAGACAACCTACAAAATCCGGGACTGCTCCAGCCAAAACGGGACATATGGTCACCCTACCTATAAGAAACAGCAAGGCTGTAATGCAAGCAGGGAACGCATAGGGCCCAATGCCTACAAATAAAGAGGTCGACTCAAGCCAGCCTTGCTCTAAAGCCTAGCGAGTCAAAAAAAAAAAAAAAAA